TTTATTCAAAGGTCAGTAATTCAAAGCAATCCTGAAATATGGAAAGGATGAAAAAAGAGAAGGTACAGTCCAATGGAAATATGAACTGTCATGAGAATTAACCAAGGTTCACAAATCTGATGTTCATGAAAACTGAATCTCGACACTACATCTATATAGCAAATAGAAATGATCCAGGAACTAATATTAGCATTTGAAAGGCAATTTTAGTGTTCAAACGCTTTATTAAGCGTTTGAAATGCAATTTTAGTGTTCAGATTCTTTCAAAAGCAATTGCACTTACCAGAAGAAGTTTCACGGAAGAATCCTCCAACTGCTTATTTCCAAATCTGTCGCTGGAAAGGTGGTCAACAATATAAAGCACATGCTCGGAACTAAATATATTATACAAGCACTTTTTGGAGAGTAATTGGAAAAAACCAACTTGTGCATCCCTATCACCAATCTTTTTCAGGAAGTTATCCTGTAAACAGAAAACCCAAAGGCTGCGTTTGGTTAGAAATAAATTGACGATAGAAAGTGAAAATGGTCAAAAGTGAAGTGAAAGAAAGAAAATAGGGAGGAAAATTTATTTTTTTGTATTCGATTGATTAGAATGAAAAGTTTGCTAAAAAATATAAAAACATTTGCTGTAAGTACTAAATTATCCTTTTCATATCAATCTAACACATACACAAGGATTAGAAATTATTATCTGGCCCAACAAATAAAAAACCAATAATTTAAGTCTTTGACCCAATGACCAACCCAGTACCTATTATTAACATTGAATTTACACATGATATTTTTAAACACACTCTTAAATTTGATACGAATTTAACTAAATACGATATGAGTCCACGAAACACAAGTTATATGTGATACGAATCCATTAAATCCAGTTTAAACACGATCTAGTCTGGTGTAAGTTGGACAAATTTTAACACAGCACTACTTAAACATAACATGAATAAGACTCATTTATAACTTGTTCAATTGATTAAAAAAAAACATTTATAACCAAAATATCTGATTTTTATTTTGTTTTGTTGTGACCAAAATATCTAATTTATTTTCACTTCTATTGCTGAAATGGGTAACATGTTAAGTGGACAAAATAGGAAACAAGTTAAGTTTCCCGTGAAAAAAAAATTCCGCGCAGGAAACAAAAGTAGCTGATTGCAAGAAAATTTAGGTGTTGCGGGAAAAAAAATTTCTTGAGAAATCGTATTTTCTAGCTAATCAAACGAATGGAAAGTTGCTTTTTTTTCCTTTTCCTGCACTTTCCCAAACTTACTTGCAAAACAAACAAAGCCAAAGAAAAACTCTTAACACAAACAACTATGGAAAGATTAAAGGAAACAATAAGGCAGATAAAAAATGAACAATATTAGACAAGTCCAAATAACTGTTTTCTATTGTATAAAGAAAAATGTCAATAAAGATAGCCTAAAATCCTTCAATAGATTCATATTATCATAGTATTTGGTCCACAACTGGAATTCTCCATCATAAATGAATTCCTGATGACAATGTCGAGAAAAAAAATGCAATATGTTCAAACAAACATAATAATGAAAAAAACTTCTAACTGCACGTATAAGCAAAAAACCAAATAGCACATTATGTCTCAAGTCAATTGGAGTTTTTGAAGATTAAGGAGCTAGTGAACTTCAAACTAATTCGATAATGCCACCACTTGAAATTCTCCATCATCAATGCAGTCCTGATGACAATGGCGGAAAAAAAAAAAGGTAAACTGTTTGAACAACGTAATAATAAAAAAGACTTCTAATTACACATAATAAGGAAAAAAATAGCCCATCATGGCTCAAATCCATTGGAGTTTTGGGGGATTGAGGAGCTTGAGAATTTCAAAATGATTCAATGATGCCGCCACTTGAACTTATTCACTTCTTTTCAAGGAATCACATCAGTCTTGTATAATTATCCATTCAAGATTAAATTTGCTTCAGCTCAATCCTCAAGAACAATTTTTCCAACATAAGTACTTCCAGCACTGATGAATTAGATCTAGTATAGCAAAAAACATTTTCTTGTGTACTTACTACTTACATTCAAAGATATATCAAAACGTTATTTTCATTTAGATAGCTGTGTGACAGCATTAAACGAGTAATCAACTCTCTTGATTCCTCACAACCCGTATCGCACAAGTGCATTTAACATTCTATGGACTAGCTCTAAACACTGTTTTCAATGTTAATCTCCCTATTCTGCATTGGATGACACATCCCCTGCCAAAACTACCATTCAAGTCGAGCAAACCAAGCCTTATATCAACAGTAGAATCACCATCACAAGTCTCCTTGCGTTATATTGCAACAATCATTCAAATCATTTCAAAATCTTTAACTGCACCATATGGCGCATGAATTTCACACCACCTTATTCTTAATCAACCAACATCCAACATTTCTGCAATCAACAGAAACTTAACATTGATCATTTAGTCATGCAGCAAACACTACAGTTTAAAGTCAACATCAGCAATTCCACCCAATCAAAAGAGCGTCTACTCTCCTATTTCCAAATGCTCCAGCCAAAACTTGCACCAACCAGGAATAGTTAAGGGCCCACACCAGTAAAACAGCCTCTGGGCATAGTCCCTGCAACTGTAGAGCTCTTTTGCACGAGAATGGAGAGGCTCTCCAAATGCTCAAGTATCAATGATCCATTACAACCACAGTGGACAACAAAAGAAAAGTGATGCCATCAGCATTATAAAATGAGAAACAATACCAATTGCTTAGAAAAATGTCATTGCTTATCCCACGTGCTATTATGGCAAACTAGTTGAGCCACCCATCATTTATGAACACCAAAATTCCTATACTAAACCAGTCACAAAATGAAGTTCGAAAACGGTGAGAAGAAAAATCGAACCAACATCATTGAACACATAGCAAATGGTGTCATCCTCTTCAGATAAAACAGACAGCACAATGTTTGTTGAATCTGAACAAGCCATATCTAAACTGGGCGGCACGTCAGCAGTCAAACGTGCATCATCAGGTTACTAAAACATGATTTCAAGCAATAAAAATGTTGAAGGCCATTTCGTAATCTTTACCCCATCCCATGTGCTGCCTATTCCCTGGTCATCAAAGATGTTGCCTACTATATTTTATTCCAAATTTATGCACAGTCTAGTGAAAGTTGGTCAGCCTCTCCAGGTTAAGTTCCAAAAACCATGGAATGCAATTGGAAGTTTCTGGAGACAACCTTCCGATAACTCTTCCCTCAGGCAAGCGACTCATAAAATTTCACCTAATTTTCTTGTTCCATATCGAAATTACAACCTAGCACAGCATACCTACTATGGAATGTCCAGGTTGAGCTCCATAAATCACGGAATACAATTGGAAGTGTCTGGAGACAACCTTCCGATAACTCTTCCCTTTGGCAAGGGATTCATAACATTTCGATAATTTTCTTGTTCCATGTCAAAATTATGACCTAACACAGTATTTCTACAAATAAAACAAGAGAATAGATCAAGAAATGACTAATCAAGAAGAACAATTTGAAATATATAAACGGCCATAATATGACTTGACAGATACTCTGGTAGATCATGTGACATTATCTAAGGCAAAAGAAGAAAACAAGATGTCTTTCGGATAAAATAGACAATGGAGGACAGCAAAACAACTCACTCTAGCAGTCTGGGCATCATTAATAGTCACTTCATCCAGCAACTGTGCCAATGCATTAAAAATGCCATTATCTTTCATTACATTGAGCCTACGAAAACCCTCTTCCGCTTTGGCAGGATCCAGAAATGTTGCTGACATTTTCATAAAGGACATTTTAATTCTCTTCTTCACTTCTTCAGAGTTATTATCCTGCAAAATACACAACATTTAATCGATTAAAAATCAAAGGACTCCCTGCAGCCCAACTGTGTACATGACATGACAAGCCCATCCTTGCACAGGAATACAACCATCCTAAATAATGTGGGAGCAAAAGAGGGGGGGAAAAGGAACAAAATTACGATTAGCATAATAAACAGAATCAAGTAAAGCATATTCTTACATGGTTAGCGAAACTAGTGGTGACGACCATTATCATCAGCAAAACATATTTGCCACGTAGTATTAGAAAAGGCGAGCAACTCTATTTGCATTTACATTGATACAGCTCCCACCTCATGAAAACAATCTAGGACACTAAAATATCATTGACAAGACAAAAACTGTGTCTGTAGTATGAGCACATCCTTACTTCTGGTAAGCCACAATATCAAATTTGCTCGATTTGACCTAGGTCGAACTTTAAACATTGTTTTAGAATTCTAAAACCTAATCTTCAAATGGCCCAAATCATGATGCTTAATTAAATTAGTTTTAAAAAATTGGACCTTTTTGTTGATTTAAGCCTAATAAACATGCCTATGAGTTCGCATCATGATCAGTGTGCAAAAAATCAGCCCAGTGCAAACAGAATAGGTCATTATAATACTCTGATGCATTACAGCTAAAGCACGATGCATTTTACCCCACAAGTCATCTCCTGATACTTAGTTCGATTGGCTGACTCATATTGATGCTCAGAGGCATCCCAAGATATCACAATACAGCTTACAAGTGATAACCGATACAAAAAAATAAACCACATCCCTAGACCAAAAGCCAATATTCTGCTTTTGGTCTCGAGCAACCCCATTATTTTCCATGGAAAAAAAAAACATCCCGATATGTACATTTCACTATTGATTTTTTTAAGTGTCAGTAGTTGCTCTTTGATATCCAACAGTATGCAACATAGTGATAAATTAGTGCCCCGGGCTCACAGCACTGTGTACTGAATATATACACATTTAGAAATTATCTTTTTTAACTTACATATTGCATATCAGCACCCATTTTCTGACATTCATCCCACACTAGCACAAATGAGTCTTCTCAATTCCACATGATCTGTAATCGATTCTCAGACTAAAATCAAGGTAATGGTGCTAACAAATTTTAAACCTCCGTTGCAGACATACATCAAATCCTCCCAAATTGTTTGAAGTTATATTTCAAGTGAAATCTAGGTTACTTAATTGAGAATCACAAAATTCCCCCCACACTAATAAATGTTGGCTTTGTATAAATAATATTTTCTATCTTGACAAGAGATACCCTAAAATAGTGGACCTCAGCATACTTTAACCATGCCACAGGGATTCTGAAACTTAAAACGCACAACCATGAACAACATGTGTCCCAATTCCAAGTATTATAGCATTTTCATCAAATCGTGTAAACAGAAGGAACAAAAAGAAAATGGCCAATATAGGAAACTCATTGATCCATGTAACTCCCATAATGTGCACGGATTAAAAGAACAGTACCTGAAATTTTCTATGCTACAATAACAAGTACATTGAAGGGGGTGTATTTTATTGTATTTCTATGTTTCCACAATACAAGTAATTCTAGAAGTTTAGCATACTGGTGGGGATTCCGTTACTACACCTCTTCTTTCTTCTGGAGGGCCAAGTAAAATTGCATCTCAGTTCGCAACCTGAAATCATACGGCAGTTTAGACTATTACTCCAACTCAAGGATGCCAGCATTTGACTACCAATACCTTCGTTTTTGAGATAAAATAGTGTTCAATGCCTTAACATGAAGAGGGCTAAAAAGAGTGAACATAAAGATCCAATGCCTAGTCCTCTCCTCCATTGAGAGGGAAGCAGGAAACATATCCTCTGCAAGCAGAAGCTCCAAGTTTTGAGGCCTAAACAGTCATGAAACAAAAACTTACAACTTGCATTAGATAAAAATTATGTATCTTTAAACAGTCATATGGGGTGAATAAGCATACCTGAACTCCTTGCAGTCTTTGTCATAACAAAGCATCAAAATTCTACAAGGAATTTCTTCGAAGTGGTCACTGAGTGTCATGGTACCTCCAGAACATTTTGTGCAATAGTTTTGATACACCTCCAGCAACTTTTGCAAGGCTTTCTTTCTAACAGATACCTGCATGAAAACAACAAAACTACAGTTTAACGTCAGACAATTTGAACCTGTCATAGAAAGCCTTTTAAAGCAATGCTACCTTCTTATCACGAAGTCGTTCAGCAGCCCGAGACATTAGTTCAGGAGGAACAAACTTTGGGTTACACCTGGCTAAATCACACACCACAGTCACTGCTTGAGTTCTCACTCTATCATCAAAATCTAAGAGTCGACCCTCCAGGGCAGCTGCTCAATTTACATGACAAGAATTATAATTCAGATTTTGGGAGATAATAAAAACAAGGAAATGAACTGCACAAGAACAAATCAAAGTTCTGACAGCTTACTGAGCACTTCAAGCGATTCTCTCCCAGATGGATTGGTCATGTACAAAGCTTTAGCACATAATAGAGCACTAAGTCTAACTTCAGCAGACTTATCAGAGAATCTATTCAAAAACTCTATGAATAAATGGTGATATTCCTGGGCGATATTGTGTCCAGGCAATGCAAAAAGTCGTCCAATTAAGTTAAGAGCTTTTATCCGGGCATCAACCTGATCAGTCTGCAAATAGAATTAAGTTTTTACTTACAGGAGCAGCAACAAATAAGGGAGTACAAATTTACAAACTGTTTCCAAACACAATACATGCAAACCATGTACACAAACTCATCACAATTATTTGCCTAAATGTCAGCCAAGATAAGATACTCTGAATTCCAATCAACTGAACAGAAGAGAGAAAACTAACCAGTAATTCTTGAGTCAAGTTTGGGAGGACAGCAAAAAGCATTTGAGGAGCACACCGGAAGATTTCAAAGATAATTTCATGGTAAAGTTCTTTGAGCTCACTCCTTACAGCATCTCGACTCAATATACAAGAAGTTAAAAACCTACATACAAAGGGCTCAAGTGCTTCACTGCAATTTTGAATGACAGAAACAGCAAGCCGAGAAGAAGCAGGAGATGCACCCTGAAGAAAGAAAGGAGGAAGAAACAAGTGAGAACAAAATAAAAAAATAAATACTTTCAGATTAAATAATTCTTCTCATTCGCTTTTTATTCCTACTATGATGATTTAAAAAGCTAAAGTGCCAATTAAACTGCAAGTTTTTGCATGGACTATTGCACATGGTAAGATTAATACTACTGATATGCTTCCAAAAAAAAGGCCTCACTCATTTCTTGGTCCGGAATGGTGTATTATGTGTAAAAGAGATTATAAAAGCATAAATCATTTATTCTTACATTATTCTATTGCTTGTCATTGTGGTACAAGTAGTAAAGATTAATGGGTTTATAGTGGATGATTCCCAAATCCATTACTTTCTTTGTTCAAGATTTAATACGTTTGGGGAGTGATAAGGGCACGACCGTGTGAAACTGTGCTATTATTGCTAGTCTGTGGGTTATTTGGAAGGAGAGAAATGCACAAATTTTCGAAAATCGTATTTAGTATTTGGAAGGTTTATGTCATTTCTTGGCATCCTTCTGGGCTTCAGTTAGTAAGGATACCCGCTTTTTGCAATTTTGGCGAGATGTCGAGCTTCATGTAATGTATCATATATAGGATGTTTTATGTATCTCCTTATTGTATTTTCATTATGCTTTTCTTTTCTTTTCTTTTTAGCTAGGAAGCACGGATACTCGTCGGGGGGTCGCCGTGGCAGTGTCGAACACGTGTCCGACGGTCAGATACGTGTTCGAGGCTGTCATTTTTTTTGGTCGGATACGTGGGAGATACGATGGGGTACTTTTGTTATTTTAAAAACTTAAGAGGGTTGAAACAAAAAAAAAAAGGTCAAAGCTACGTCGTTTTGGCTTGAAAAAGAAAAAACTAAAACTTTGTTGATCTGTGAACCGACTCCAATCGACATTCGGTGTGTGTGTGTGTGAGAGAGAGAGAGAGAGAGAAGAGAGAAGAAGAGGAGCTCGAGAGGACCAAAGGAGGAGAAGAAGAAGGAGAGGGAAGAGGAAGGGCGACTCACCTACGATTGCGATCGAGCTCTGCGACTGCGATCTTCTTCTTGTTTCTATTTTTTTTTTTCAGATCTACTACTGCTCTTACCTCTTCATCTTCTGGTCTCTGTGGAGTGTGGACTTTCAAAAATTTGATTAGGTTAATTTGATTGGGGATTTTTAGGGTTTTCAAAAATTGGGAGTTTTTTTTTGGTCCGGTGTTGCGTTGTTTGCTGCATTCGGAATTTTTTTTTGGTCTTGGTCATCTGTGTTGCTGTCTTTCTGTGCTAGTGCGCTGCTGCCAACTGGTTTTAAATACTGAAATTTGTTTTCCTACCTTGCTGCCTTTCGGTGCTATGTTGCTTGCTGCCCGCTGGTCTTCTCTTTTTTGTTGTGCTTCTGTCTTCTCTTTTTTTGTTGTGTTTTCCTAGCTAGCTTTTTTTTTGGTCATCTGTGCTGCTGCCTGCTGGTTTTGAAAATTATATATATTTTTTGAATTTTAATCTATTTCAATTTAAATAATATTTGTTATGTCTTATTTGTTATTATTAATGTTGTTGTTATATATATAAAAATATATATAATTTTTTTAATTAGCCGTATCCTCGCCATATCCGTATCCTATATTTTGGGATTTTGCCGTATCGCCGTGTCCATATCCGTGCTTCTTAGCTTTTTATTGGTTGGGTGTCTTATCCAACTGCTATCATGTACACTTAATCCTACATGATCAGGCAACGTATATAAATTCCAAGTTTTTTAAACTGTAAAATAAATATTTGGGTAACTGTTCAAGCAAGTTTTAATGGTTGAGGGCATAATTTGTGCACTATAAGTGTGCCTCCCATGATGTATGCATAGCGTCCAACATAGTCTGATCAATCTGTAATCATTGCAATTGAATAAGTGTGTTATGCAATCAATCAATTTTTTTGTGTTTTCAAGCTTCATATAGCTTGTTGTGTATATATGACACTTCCAAACTATAGCCCGAGATACATCAGACAACCACAGGAACCACATTACCCACAAAAAAACAGTGAGAGAATCTCCCTCCTCTTTTTTCTTTGAAACAAGTCAAACTGAAAAGAATATAAAAGTAAAAAAGTCAATGGTGCAAGCTTAATTATCTCTTCATCTATCTATAACAATTCAAATTCTACGTTCCTTCAAAAACATTGCCGATAAGTTCATTCCAAAATCAAATCACATGAGAAATTAACATTAAAAGGAAAACTTTTTATCATTTTGAATCAGAAGCAAAGTATCTCAAGCAAAAATTACCTTTGCCTCCTTCAAAAGATTTAGCAAAACCACATCTAAAAGCGGCTCAAAACCTTCCTCCGTTAAAACTGATTCACAAATTTCCCCCTTTGAAAGAATCTCAGAAGCTTTCTCCTCTAAAATACCAGCCATCATAGACGACATCATGCTAACCAAACTTTGTGGATGATGTTCCCTACAGAGCAACAGTTAATACCATTAAGGGCAAAGTCAAGTACTTAGATTTCCACCATAAAGATCTTAGAAATAAATATAGTAAATAAGAAGGGGAGACAAAAACAACAAATTAGCAAACTTAGCCACATAAAATTGAGAGGTATTACACCCAGCACTCATTGCTTAATTATATGGCGAGTCCATCCTAACAGGTTCTCATCTGGAAGTATTCCAGAAGTATGGCCAGGACATAAACCCAAGACATCATGAATATGCAACGATGACTTTGTACCGTAAGGGAGTCATGCATTTTGCTCATACAAAGCTAGTAGAAGAGTAGAAGTTCTGTTTAAGGAAAGGTTACTTTCATGGATTGGTGCTGATTTATAAGCAAATATCTAAACCCCAACCCACACAAGGAGGAGAAGCTAAATCTTTTAATCGGAAAAACATAGATCCAGTTTATACAGTTATCAAGAATGCTTTATACAATACAGGTTCTATATCCATTTTAACCGTAAATATCATGAGATAAAGTTTACTTCCAAATAATTAGAGGAAATTTCTACTTTGAAAAAATAATCAAACAAATAGGAAAATATAACAAAACTACCCCACTCTGTTGTAAGTTCGTAGCAGTGTACTCTAGAATACTATCTGTTGATGTACGTGCAGAAGCAACCACAACCATTCCCCCCCCAAAAAAAATAAAAAAAGGGAGGGCATAAGACCAATGTCAAACAAACCAGCAACACTGAGTCGGTCCCACAGAGTTTATCTCTATGATTCTCTAGAACAGATTCCCCCCCCCCCCCAAAAAAAAAAGGGGAGATCAGACCAATCAATATTCTAAATGTCAAACAAACCAGCAGCCCTAAGTCACTCCAAGAGAGTTTATCTCTATGATTCTCTAGAACAGAATAGCAAAGCTGCTCATGAAAAAGCTTAAGTGTATGTATTCTGATATATGCATATGCTCAGTCCACGCCAAAAGCACATAAACTTTTTCACTTATCCTTGCTTGGTAATGATAAGCCATATCATGAAAAAAATATTAAAAGTACATTTAAAGGGTGGGAAGCCAAAGGAGGAAGGTCAGCAAACTCGTTAAGTTAAGCTCCGTTTGAAAAAATAAATAAAGAAGTTAAGCCCTTTAAGAAGAAGCCGAGGCAAGCAAGAAGTAAGCCGTTTGAGGAAGGCTTTAGATTGGCTCAATCGAGAAGCTGAGGGAACTGAAGGTTGGCTCAAGAGAGTCTTTTCTTTATCATGCAAATCAATTCTTAGTGCTACGGTAAAAGCTACATAAATAAAGTATCAAAAGGCAAGTAGGCTAGTAACTCCGTCAAAGAGACTCAAATCAATAAGGAGGACACAAAAACAGAAAGGGAAGAGAGAGGAGAAACTTAACCTCACAACATTAAAAAAGGTATTGAACAGCTCAAGAACTAAATCTTCACAGCCAATGTCTAGCATTAGCACATAGAATTTGAGTTTAGCAACAGTCTCCAATAGTTTTACCCTCTTCAAGAAATAGGGGCTGGTGGTATCAGCAAGCTCCACAAACATACTTAGTAACAGTTTAAAGATGTCCTGCAACAAGATTCAAACTATCGTAAGTCCTAATATAGTGGTTTGTGGTAACCAAAACTGGAAAGAGATGAAAGGATGGTAGTTGTGCACTAATAGCACTAAGCAAGTTACCTTAGAAACTGCATCACTGAAATTAGGATTTGGTGCCAGGACCCGAATAATTTCACAGAAACAGATGGCCACCAGAAGTCTAATATCTTTATCTTTATGCTGAAGCAGTCTATGCTTAATAAGAGAATCACTCAGTGGTTTTATTGCAGCTTTTAGTGATGCCAACTGTTTTAACTCAGGGAAAGCACTAGCAGCTTGCTGCAGAGATGAATTTGTCACGCAACACAAAAGAATCACCATAAACAGAGTGTAGCACCTTAGAATCAAAAGTTTAAAATCTAAAGCAGAACCGATGCACCTAAAATGAGGATATGAAATCTTCATTCTAAACACACTTAACAGTGCACTAAACATGAGCCATCATTCGCTTTATACTTAGCTTCTCTTACCTTTTTTTGACTTATTTATCGGCAATTCTATTTCATCTAAACGTTTCTTATTCCTAATTCTGTGCCATTGTTTTATAACATTTTCTTTTAGTTTTTACTACAGTTTGTGCCTCATTATTCCACCACCAATTTTCTTAAGCTAATGAGCAATTGCCTTTTGATTATCCAAGAACCCTTTTTCATGCATATTCTACAATTATAGTCCATACTACACAAGTTTCATTTTCTACATTCCATCTTTGCTCTTTTCGTATTTTATCCTTAGTTAATTCCATTTTCTCTCCCTTTAAATTTCTACGTCTAATTTTAATCTTCTTTTTTTTAGTCTTTACTGTCTTCAATGTGTATCTAATATTATCTTTCTTTGTGGCATCACCGAGTTCTCTCTAGTGTTAGACTTACAACCCAACCCTTACATGATTAACAAATACATCATTCCAATTAACAAAAAAACTCTCGGGATATCCGACTCTACGAAACCAAGGAAAAGCTGTACAGCAATAGTAGGGGCGTTAAGACCGGAGCTTTTTGCAGTGCTAGCAGGAATGCAAGTGAATGAATCTCATCCCCTAGTGAGTGAAGTGCTTACGAACTGGTTCTTACTTGCTCCACTTTTAGGGTTAGTAAATATTTATTTCTATTTTTAAAATACATGTTTACCATCTTGAACTTTGTCAATGCAACACCACAAAACCAGATATAGGTTCCCCAGCATAATTCATCTCTCCAAACCTACATCCATAGAAACCAACTCATATCCTTCATGATCTTCCCTTATATGATGATTCTTATATGACCCCCAAAAGATGAAATTACATATATTCCCCTTTTCCTGGTAATTGAATATGCATATTCTCTCTCCTCTAAGTATTCATAGCATTAACTCATCAACATAATTTCAAAATTGAGTGTTATTCAGTTCACCTAATCATATTTTGATAATAAGTACTTATAACATAGATTACATTTCCTGCTATTATAAAATTATTTAATATTATTCCACTTCTTTTCATAATAAAAGTTACTACCATTCTACCTCTTCTATTTGCAGTATCATAGAGTTTATAGCTTTATTCCCAAATTCCTTGACTTTCTCTCCTACCCAATTATTGGGGTTCCTACATTCCAGGTCAGTATTCTAAAATTAGTAACTATCCCCCTGCTATATAAACACATCAAGAATACCCAGAAATATTTTGTACAGACACAAATTCAACTATACGAAAAGTACTCAAAACTAATAATCAATGGTTAAATTCAATTAGAAACAAATGAAGTCCTGGACTATAGGAACATACATTAAACGAAAAAATAATACTAAACCACTAGTTTTAAATTACAGAACAAGAATCGACACATTAAAGAATACCCAAAAAAACACGAGTAAACCAATGCACTCAAAAGCGAATTGAACCAATTTTTCGGGCTGTGGTGAACTATAAATTCAGATGTATGAGCAATATAGAAGTATCGAAATAGGGGAAAATTACGCTTACTTTGAGCAACTTTACTAGGAAGTCTTTGTTGGGGCAAGTTTTTTGGGCGAGTAATTTTTTGCCAATGTCGGAGATCAGGAGCTTTGCAGTCTCAGCCTCAGCCTCTTCGGCCATCGTAAGAGCGAAGAAGATGGAAACCCTTGCCTCTTGATTTGAGAGGGTTTCCGTGAGAGAGAGAGAGGAGGAGGGGGGGAAATTGTTTGAGGGGTGAGGCTCCCGCCCTTGCAATCCGTGTGCCGTGCCTAAGGCGGTTGGTTTTCATTTTTGGGAGAATTACACTTTCTTGCCCTTGAAATTTGAATAAACTTTTACTTTGGTCCTACAAATTTGTTGTGTTATTAATTTATACTTTCTTAGAATCGTGTTGCGTTACTAATTTATACTTTCACTTCGGCGACATGTTTAGCTCAATCTAATCACTTATTTTTATCCCAAAAAACCCTTGAGAACAATACTATGTTTAATGGTAGATAAATGACATCTATGTCGTGTTTTTATGCTAATGTGCATAATGACTCACAACTTGTGGTAAGACGAGTATAAATAAGGTACCCAACGATAGAGAAGATAGTCTTCACGCCGGTAACTGCATTCAAAAAATTGAGATCCTTTTTTCAAGCTCATCCCGTTATATTATTTACTAATGTACCCTTACGCCAAGTTATTCAGAAATTAGAGATATTCGGACGATTAGCAAAATGGTCCATCAAGCTCAAGGAGTTCGACATCCAGCATGTCCCCTGAATAGTTATAAAGGGCCAGTAACTACTGACCTCCTAGTAGAATTTGCCCTTGAGGCACAAGAGCTTAATGATGTTGATGTTCAAATAGGGGACTGATAAATGTATGTAGATGAGTCATCCAATTCAACTGGAAGAAGAAATAGATTAATTCTTATCTCACCAACTAAGAAGAAGATTAAGTATGCATTATGTTTTGGATTCAAGGGCTCAAATAACAATGTGGAATATGAGGCTCTCATCACAGGACTCCAGCTAGCTAAAGTCCTAGGGCTGAAGATCTTTTTTTTTTTTTTGGTTTTTTTTTAGGGGATGAAGTAGACTTGAACTCTTAACCTCAAGAAGACAAAATTATTATACGACAAGGAGTACCATTAGACTAAATGCTCATTGGAAGGGATGAAGAGCCTTAATGTGCATAGTGACTCATAACTTGTGGTAAAATGTCTTCATGGTGACTCTAAAGCGAGAGATCCACAAATGAGTTCCTACTTGAAAATTGCAACAGAAAATATCACATGCTTTGAACACTTCAAGATTACTCAAGTCCCGCAATCACAAAACTCACATGCAGATTCACTAGCTCTACTAGCCTCCACGCTCTCTGATAGTCTAACTAAAACCATATCAATAGAGTATTTGACAGGGTCAAGTACTTGCAGTATTAACACCAACCTAGTTCAGTAAAATTCGAGTTGTATGGATGAAATAATGGCATATTTACAGCATTAAATACTACCTCAAGAAAACCAAGAAGCTCAGAAGCTAAGGATAAGAGCCTCAAGATATGTGACCCTAAACCAAGTACTCTATAAGAGATATTACTCACTTCCATATTTAAGGTGTTTAACTCCAAGAGAATTTGCCTATGTACTGGAAGAAGTCCATGAAATAAAATGTGGGCACTATTATAGGGGTCATTCCTTGGCTCAAAAGATCCTTAGACAATGCTACTTTTGCCCCACTGTGAGGAATGATGCTCTGAGCTATGTGTGGAGGTGTGAAAAATGTCAGAATTTTGTCGCGGTTCCAAGACTCCCAGTAAAGAAACTCACTCTAATCACAAGGCCATAGTCATTCGCTCAATGGAGAATCAATATTATAGGACCACTCCTAGTAAGGAAAGGCCAAAATAGTTTTACAGTTGTTGTAATAGACTATTTCACCAAGTAGTTTGTCTGGAAGTCAATTGTTTGTAGATTCGGTATACTGGCTGTCATAATAAGCAACAATGGTAAATAGTTTGATAATGACAAATTTAGAGAGTTCTACTTCAAACTTGGGATTCACAATCTCTATTCTTTCACTGGTCATCCACGGGCGAACAACCAAGCAGAGGTGACTAACCGAACTTTGCTACGGAACATTAAGACCAAATTAAAACAGTTCAAAGGTCTTTGGGTAGAACAACTCCCGTATATCCTGTGGACACATAGGACCACAGTAAAGGGAACCAATAGGGGAGACACTTTTTTCTTTGGCCTTTGGAACGAAAACAATTATCCCGGCAGAAATTGGGATGGCAACTAATCAGACCAAAGAGTTGGATCTCAGCATGAATGATCAGCTACTGGGAAATTGCCTTACTTGGCTCGAGGAGAAGAAAGAATAATCCCAAACAAGGATGGCGGCATATCAAAGTCAGGTCTCCAAATACTACAATGCTCGAGTACAACCCAAGGCAGTTCATGCTCAATGACTTGATACTCAGAAAAGTCACCCAAGCAACTAAGAATCCTGGAGAAGGGAAGTTGGGGGCATCTTGGGAAAGACCCTATCGGGTCATAAAGATAGTAAGATCTGAGACTTATCATCTAGAAACTCTGGGAGGAACAAAATTACCACATTATTGAAATGCGGAGCACATAAAAATATTTTACCCGTAACTTACAAGTAAGGATCGAAATTTCGTTTCGAAGTACTGTTTCAGTCAGCTCAAAAATGAAATCGTTTCGGAAACGCAAAAAAATATGGAAACGCATAGAAACACAAATACAATTCATTAATTTATAAAAATAAGCTAAATAATTGATTAATTCAACATATTTATTAGGTTAACATCTATTTATACAAGAATAAATTTAAATTTGAGGAAAAAAAGTTTGACATGAGACAAAAATCACTTAAATTAGTTTCAAATACTTAATTTTTATGAAATAAACACATTTTTACATAATATTGAGGTCTTATAATACACATGAAATGTTAATGAGTACATACTTACATGACTACATCCATTCCCCTATGGAGTGTTGAGTGAACTTATACATCGGTATAGGCTCTGGGTAGCTACTTAGAGAAACTTCATATGTGACATAAATATGATGACAATAGTTACTCCAACTCATATTATTACAGTAATATTATCCAATTAATAATATTATTTTATTATAATACTAATAATGAAGGGTATCAAATTAAATTAATGATACTTATGTATACTTAAAAATTAAATATAATTATAGTGGGTATTAAATGTAATTACAGTGGATATTAAATATAATTACATTAGGATATTAAATATAATTGTTAATACTTATAACAAAAAAAAAAAAAGCAAAAGACTTGCACAACAGTGGGGTATTAAATATAATTACAGTAGGTATTAAATATAATTACAATGGGTATTAAATATAATTACAGTAGGGTATTAAATATAATTATTTATTCTTATAACAAAAAAAATATAAAAGGCAGAAGAGCAGTAGGAATTAAATGTAATTGTAGTGGGGTATTAAATATAATTATAGTGGGTATTAAATATAATTACAGTGGATATTAAATATAATTATAGTGGAGTATTAAATATAATTATTTATAGTGAACCGAATATATCACTGTTTCTTCGAAACGGTACTGTTTCGATCGAAACAGTCCGAAACAGTGTCGTTTCGACCGAAACGGTCCGAAACAGTACCGTTTCGACCGAACACTGGAATTTTGTGATTTAACTACTGTTTTGTTTTGGAGTGTTGAAATTTTGAAACGTTTCGAACGTGTCGACACAACATTTTGATCCTTACTTACAAGAATCTTCACTTCAATGTACTTGCCTCACAAAAAAGCTATGTTATCTCCTTTTCAATAAAAGAACAATTTTATTTTTCTATTATTCTATGATGAGCAAGCATGAAATTTGGACTTTCACGCCCCTCGTGTAGCTCGGATTGAGTCTAATCTACTCAACAGAAGTAAAGGTCGGATTTCAAGCCCCTTGCCTAGCTTGGATTGAGTCTATTCGACTCAACAGAAGCAAAGATGGGACTTTCAAGCCCTTGCCTAGCTCAGATGGAGTCTATTCGACTCAACAAAAGTGAACGTAGGCAAATTGCCGAACCACGTAAAATCTGTGTCTTGTTCTTTCTTGTTTCTTATTGTTTTATATTCTTGATTTGTTCTTCGATTGTGTGTGTTTGTTAGTGGATTTAAATCGAGTTAAATCCCAACAACAAACTATGAACTTTATAATTTTTATAAAAAGAAAAAACAAAAAGTAGCATTGTCAAAGCTCAACCAAATCCCATATGTCGTTTCCCATATGAAGAAGACCCATCTTCCCAGCTCTGCTTGCGTAAGGTTGCAATATCAACTCCGGCTCCACAGCTGGCTCTACATCATTATCCTCCAAAACTGTAGCTAGTCCCTCATCATCATAAGGGATTTCCTCTATAATTAAAAGTGGGGGACTGAGACCAAGGAAAATAAGTCTCTCAAGGGTAATTAAACTCCAAAAAGCTTGGGTACTCCTTCAATAGCCCTCTGAATCTTGGCCCGTCCAACTGGGCACAAGAGACGCCTCTCTACTGCAAACGTGAACAAGTAAGAATCATTTAAAGGAAAAAAGGTTAGGGTTAATAGTGAAAGCAATAATAAAACTTACTTATGTTAGATGAAGGGTACCAAATCAGGACCCGAGGACTGGCTTCTACCACCCTTTCAAACTCTATGTCATCTCCAGAGACATAGAATAATCTTCTTTCATAGCCAGGAGGAGGGTGTAGGAGTTCAAAGATGAGCTCAAACATGTCATCTCCTCAAAGGAACTAGGAGAAGTCGTGATTGACGGGGGCCAAATAGAAGTGGTTAATGAACTCAACCATTGTAAGAGAATGGTCTAGCCCGACTAAGCGTCATGTGACGCCCCTAAAACCGGGGGTCCTATTGACCATCCATCAACCCGTGAAAATATCCGTGAGTGCTGTTGGATCCGACATCACGCTAATATTATCTCATTACCGAAATTTCAAACTCACACGTAACACCCGTGTTTCAATAGTCATTTAATCATATTGAGGTTCAATGTATCCCAATATATCTTATTTAAGGTCTATTTGTATCATTGGAACTAAATGATACATAGCCCAAGACCCTAGA